TGGGTATCAAAACTGAAGGGCATAACTCAGCCCTTGCTTCTGGAGAAGATGAGAAGGTGAGGTCTGAGCTTGGTTCCGAGGAATGGAGAGAGGTGGGCACAGTGGGAATGGAGAGAGGTGGGCGCAGTGGAATGGGGAGAGGTGGGCACAGTGGAATGCCTAAGCATGTAGCTCATAAAAGACATCCAATACAGTGAATTTCTAGGAGAATTTGAAATAGAGGAAATGTTATGAGCAACAAAACACAGGAAACAGACTAGTTCAGACTCCTCATACAATTAACATTTGAATAACAGACTCTTCATACAATGAACATTTGAGTAACAGACTCATCATACAATGAACATTTGAGTAACAGACTTATCATACAATTAACATTTGAATAACAGACTCTTTTGACAAACTAGTGCAAGCCATAGGCCCTCTTCCTAGAAAAGTAAACACACTCAAAGCACAGCAGATGATTTTATAAGCCGTAGCTATTCCCGGATCCCATACACATTATGAATATGGGCTCCACGAATATCTGTTCTAGGGAAGTGGGGGCCTCGCAGTATAAAAAACATTTTAAAGTTCTTTCATTCTAAAAATCTTAGCTTTTTAATTACTTAAGTATTTATTGTGTGTACTATGTGTGTGGAGGTCAGAGGACAACTTGTAGGAAGGAATTGGTTTTGTCTTTTCCACTGTGTAGGCCCTAGTGATCAAACTCAGATCATTAGGCTAAAATAATAGCATGGTACTATTACTTTAGATGGCTTGTAAAGAATGTTCTGGAAGCAGGTTATTCACCTAGCAGGATGCTAGAATAATGTTGCAACACACGGTTTACCCTGATCAAAGGTTAAGAACCCCAGAAGGGAGAAGAATGCTCTAAGAGCTAAGACCGGCAAGTGGCGTACGGTTTGCTTTAAGAGTGAGAAATAAAAAGGGTTAAGATTGGCTTTGCATCTTGGCTGACGGCGTAGACAGCATTGTAGTAAGTGAGGCAGGAGTGCAGGGAACATTTTGGGTTAGGAATGGAGTGGTGGAGAGCCTGGGGTGGAGAAGTGAGGAGATCAGGGTTTACCATGTCAAGGTCACGTGAAGTGGTGATGGTGATTAAGAGTGGAGTGGAGGAATAATATGGAGACGCTGTAAGCCTTGAAGGAGTGAAGGATTATGGGAAGGTTGGTGGACTTAGGTATTATAGAGGTCTGATCAGGTGATAAGGATGGCTGATGCTCCTTCCAATCTGACAGAGGATGCCAGGTAGAGGCAGTGTCTAGGGCCTCCTCCTAGACACAAACTCCCAGGATTTGGGTGACTCAGAAAAACAGGGATTTATTGTCTTACAGTTTTGGAGATTTAAGGTCAGAAGGCAAGGTATGTGCTGTATAGTGCTTCGTCAGAGAGTTACAGTGAATCCTCCCACAGTCTCCAAGCTTATGATTTTTGGTGTTCCTTGATGTCATAGTTGGCTTCGGTTGTCAGTGTGACACACTGGGAAGAGTCGCCTGGCAAGAGGGCGCCTCGGTTGAGGGATTGCCTCCATCAGACTGGGCTGTCACATGTCTATGGAGGCATTTTCTTGATTGCTGATTCAGGAAGGAGGGCTTAGCCCATAGTGCGGGTGTCTTGGATTGTATAGGAAAGGCAGCTGAGGGCCTGGAGAGATAGCTCAGTGGTTAAGAGTATTTGCTGTTCTTCCCCGGGGCTAGGGTTCACTCCTTAGCACTTGTATCAAGCAATTAACAACTGTCTCTAACTTCAGCTCCAGGTTCCTCATGCCTTATTAAATTATTAGAACTTATTAGGTTCCAGAGGGCTCTGTGGCCACACACAACCACAAATTATTAAAATTAATAAAAATGAATCTTAGGAAAAAAAAGCAAGCAAGCTGACTGAGCACCTGGAAACAAGTCAGTGAGCAGTCTTCCTCTGTGGTGGCAGCTTCAAGCTCCTGCCTTGGCTTCCCCTGATGACAAACTGTAATGTAAATGAAATAAACCCTTTCCTCCTCGGTTGGTTTCGGTCAGAGTGGTTTAGCATAGTAACTAAGAAAACCAATTAAGATGCTCAGCTAGTCTGTGCTTCATGGCTAACTACTCTACCTTTGCTATTACGTGGCGTTTTCCTCTGTGTCCCTGTCTTCACAGAGTCATTAAGAAAAGATTTCTGAACCTTAAAAAAATTTTAATTTCAAAGACAGCCTCTCACTGTGTAGCCCAAACTGGCCTCAAACACACAAAGATCCTCTTGCCTCAGACTTACAAGGGCTGAGATTACACATATGTACCTCCATGCTCAGCTCAAATGTCACCTTCTAATAGGGACACCAGTCACGTTGCATGAGTTCCAGGAGAACCTCATCTTAGCAGATTGCATTTGCATGAACTCACTTCTGAATAAGACTGCACTTTGAGACGGTGGGAGTGAGAAAGCTCACAGACCATCCAGGGGACAAACTACACCCAAACAGTGAAGGGTTTTTAGCTCCCGGAGGAAACAGGCTGAGTGGAGACTCTCCTGGCACACTCTCCAACATGCCGGAATGAAATGACTGGAGGTGGTTGTGGGTCCTGTCAGAGGAGGAGGATCGTTAACCGACTCTCTGAGAGAGAAGGTGGAAATGTGAGGCGTGAGGAACCAAATGAAGTTCTAGTTTGAGGGCAGCCAGGATGACCTTGGCCATGAAGCTTGGCAAAAACACACAACACAAGGGACTTTGGGTAGAAGACCACCAACGATGTCCCTCTTGTTGCTGTTGTCTGCACACTCACTGCTTGTTGGTGACAGTTTGCTGACAAGCCCCTTCCTACCCCATGGTTGAGGTTTCCTAAATGCTGCCAATGTTACCATGTTCTTATTTTCTTCTTGTTCCTTCTGGCATGTGGAAAGCACCTACAATCCAAAAGGCACCTCTGTGCTAATGGTCTTTCTCCCTTTCTTTCCCTCTCTTTTTATTTATTTATCTATTAAAGATTTTTTAATTAATTATTTGTTTATTTATTTTTTATTTTTTTAAATTTTTTTTATTTATTAAAGATTTCTGTCTCTTCCCCACCACTGCCTCCCCTTTCCCTCCCCCTCCCCCAATCAAGTCCCCCTCCCTCGTCAGCCCAAAGAGCAATCAGGGTTCCCTGCCCTGTGGGAAGTCCAATGGCCCCCCACCTCCATCCAGGTCTAGTAAGGTGAGCATCCAAACTGCCTAGGCTCCCACAAAACCAATAAGTGCAGTAGGATCAAAAACCCATTGCCATTGTTCTTGAGGTCTCAGTAGTCCTCATTGTCCGCTATGTTCAGTGAGATCGGTTTTAACCCAGGCTTTTTCAGACCCAGGCCAGCTGGCCTTGGTGAGTTCCCGATAGAACATCCCCATTGTCTCAGTGTGTGAGTGCACCCCTCATGGTCCTGAGTTCCTTGTTCATGCTCTCTCTCCTTCTGCTCCTGATTTGGACCTTGAGATTTCAATCTGGTGCTCCAATGTGGGTCTCTTTCTTTTCTTTTCTTTTTTTTTTTTTTTTTTTTTTTTTTTTTTTGACACAGAGTTTCTCTGAGTAGCTTTGGCTGTCCTGGAACTCACTCTGTAAACAAAATTGGCTTTGCACATCTTTATTTCACTGGGGTCTGGGAAGTCTCTTTCATTCCCAAAGAGCTGAAATTGAATTTAATGAATATACTTATTGATATTGTTTGAGAAAACCTCCTCTGCTTACTTCCTTTTTATTGTCCTTGTGACTATCAAAGCATCAGGGTACAAGGTAGAAAATCAAGTCAAAAAACTGTTACCACAGCACATCAGGCAAAACTATCCTGGGTATGAGCACTGTATTACCCTTCTAGAAAATTCTATTCCCTGTGAGCAACAAAGCAGACTGATATTCTGGCTACTACTTTGCATTTGACTTTTGTTCATTCTTCTTCTTCTTCTTCTTCTTCTTCTTCTTCTTCTTCTTCTTCTTCTTCTTCTTCTTCTTCTTTTCTTTCTTTCTTTCTTTCTTTTTTTTTTTTTTTTTGAGACAGGGTTTCTCTGTGTAATAGGCTGAGTTGTCCTGGAAGCTGTCTCCCAGCTCCTTGTAGGATCACTGGGATTACAGATGAATGAGCTAATAAGTCCAGCTTTATGTGCATTCTAGAGACAACAGCCTAACAGGACAAAACAATATACAAGGCAGTCCAATAGGAGAAAAATAGTTCTAAGAGCAGGCAAAAGAGGTAGAGATACACCTGCACCTACAGTGAGGCATCCCATAAAAACACCAAGCTATCCACTGTAACATCTGTGCAGAAGCCCTGGTGCAGGCCCGTACAGCCCTTGAGCTTGCACTGGGGTAGGTAAGAGAGTGGGACAAGGAGGGATGTTCTAAAGTGAGATGGGACAGTCCAATCTGTAGGCAACTCCTCAAGCTCAGGAAATAACTCAAGGCTTCAGGAAGTCCCTGAAACTGACCAGATTCACTAGAGGTCTTCCCTTCCCCCAAACATATATAAGCATATGTAAAGCTTCTGGACTGCTGAGAGACGCTATTAAATCATCTGAGCTGTCTAGAAGACACAAGCCTAAATGGACTGAGGGCGTATGCCTCAGTCAAGTAAGCTGCCACAGGAGGCTCAGACCAACCAAACTTCCTGGAAAGGACACTCTCCAAGTTGAGTTGCTTGTAGACTGTGCAGTGTGCTCCAGGTCACAGCTTTTGTGAGCCATTGCCCATGTTAGTGTGGACTTTTGGTCATGTGGCTTTGAGTCATTTCAGCTGGTCTAAATAACCCCTCACCTATATTCTTGCCAAGTAACCCCAGTAAACTCATCAGTTCACCCAGTTGGACTTTGGTGTTATCTTTACTTTTGTTTGTTGCCTGTCTGAGATGAGTAGACTCATGTTTCCCCAGGAATTGTGTAATCACAGGTGTTCTGTGATAATTGATGTGGGAGTGGTTTCTTATTAATAAAGAAACTGCCTAGGTCCATTTGATAGGCCAACCCTTAGGTAGGCGGAGAAAACAGAAGAGAATTCTGGGAGAAAGAAGCTTAGTAAAGAGTCGCCATGATTCTCCCACTCCAGACAGACACAGGTTAAGATCCTCCCTGGTAAGCCAGCTCGTGGGCTACACAGAATATTAGAAATGGGTTAGGACAATATGTAAGAGCTAGCAAATAAGAAACTGGAACTAGCCAGGCCAGGCAGTGTTTGAAAGAATACAGTTTCCGTGTAATTATTTCGGGGCATAAGCTAGCCGTGCGGGCGGCCAGGTGCCTGGGACGCAGCCCTGCCGCTCGTAATGCAACAGATAATGTCTCCTCAGGAATTGTATACACACAGTTGTGTGTCTGTTATAATGTCCTCCCAAGAATTGTGTACACACAGTTATGTATCTGTGATAATTCATGGATATTTGTCCCATTCGAAACCTTTCTCTAGGGATTGTTCTTAACTTCATGGAGAAGGGCTACCCTGCCCTCCTCTGGGTAGACACAGTCAAGGTGAACACGTGGAGAAATTGAGAGGGTGGAACACCCCAATTGGCCCTCACTTTATCTTGGGGGAATTTGTAGTCTGGATTCACAGGTGCTGTCCTGTAGCCTCGAGGACAGAGGAGAATGAGGAGCTTATAGTAGCTGATGCCTGAGAACCAGAAAGACTGATATACATGGGGGTAGGGGGTGGATAGAGGGAGAGTAGGAGAGAAGAGAAGGGCCAGGGCTTCAATGTCTCCTTCAAAGGCACACTCTCAGTGACCTACTTCCTCCAACTGGGCTCCATCTCCCAAAGGTTATAGTGCCTCTGAATGGTGGCCCTGGTTGGGCAGCAAGCTTTTAACATGTGAGCCTTCAGATGATGTTCCTGATCCAAACTACAGCTTCCAAAAAAACAAAACAAAACAAAACAAAAAAACAAAAAACCCCCATAAATAATAGGATTGGGGAGTTTCCAGGTTGGTGAACATGAGGTGGCATTTCAATTCTATGGGAACAGAGGTTCTTGTATTCCAGACCTAACAGAACTCGCTGTATGTATCTCTTCATCTGATGAAGCCTTTGTCTTTCATGCTATCCTGTAGATGAAGCTAGGCTAAGTAAAGACAGCATTCCTGCCTTCTGTGAACTGTTACTGTAAATTATTGGGCTTGGAAAGAGAGCTGCTTAGTCAAGTCAAACCAAATGTATAGAGTATCTGGGGACCCACTACATTCAGCTCCTGGCCAAGGTGTGGGTTATTTAGGGACAGTTTCCTGCAATGGACATTTAAGGTGAATATCCAGTCTTGGGAGACTGAGTTGGTGATCTGTGGAGTCTGCAGTAACTATGGTTAGCGAGTGTCCAAGTTAAATGACAGGACATCCACCTGGCATCTTCAGAGAAGGGGAGAGTTGTCTGGCGTGGAAACCCGACCCTTGGTGTCAAAGTGTGAGCCGGGAGACACTTTCCAGTTTGATGTTTCAGCATTAACAACCTGTTCCCCTGAGGGTTGTGACATAAGCTACCCTCTTATGTAATAAATTCCTGCGTTATGTACTTCAGCCTAAAACGACTTCACTAAAGATGTTTTTTAAAAAGCCACTGGAGAACAGACATGTAAATTGAATTCTCATGAGAACGCCAATTTATTGATTTCCACGCTGAGTGACTGCCAGTGGGACCGGAATACTCCTACCCTCGGCCAGCCTGTCCTCTCCCAGGAGGGAGCTCTACATGGGAAGCCGAGTGATAATGAGAAGACTGCTTGACGAGGGCAGGCAGAGCAGATAATTAGGGGATCTGAGCAGGCTGTCTCCTACTGCGGATGGCTTGAGGCATTCTCCCACTTCAGAGTGCACTGAACCTGCCAATGGTGTGCACACGCGCTTGTGCGAGCTCACCCGTGCAAAACAGGCCAGCCTGCTAAAGCCGGCTCACCCACAAGCCAAGTCAGCTAATGACCCAGCCGCCTAACATTAGTGTTTGTGGAAACATCTCATGTGTGATGGGGTGGCTTCCACAGCTTCCTGAGAACTTTCCCTCTAAGGTGACTGGTGACTTCTTAGTCTTCTTCCTTTTCCTCCCCTTCCTCCCCACCCCCACCTCCTGCTTTCTCTTTCTCTTCTGCCCCTGGTTTGTTTTATTGTTTTGTGTTTTTTTTTTGTTGTTTTTTGTTTTTTGTTTTTTGTTTTTCGAGACAGGATTTCTCTGTAGCTTTGGAGCCTGTCCTGGAACTAGCTCTTGTAGACCAGGCTAGCCTCGAACTCACAGAGATCCGCCTGCCTCTGCCTCCAGAGTGCTGGGATTAAAGGCGTGCGCCACCACCGCTTGGCTCAAGATTGTTGTTCTTTATCCAAGGCTACCCTCCTTTCCACTATCATCTTCTTGCCTGCTGTATATCTTCAAAAATTTAAGGAAAATGTGTTTTTATGTGTGCATGTGTCTTTATGCAAACCATGTGCATGTAGTGCCTGAAGAGGCCAGAAGAGGGCGTTGGATTGCCCAGGACAGGAGTTACAGACAGTTGTGAGCCTTCTGATGTGGGTACTGGGAACTGAACCAGGATTCTTACCAGGATTCTTGGCAAGAGCAGGGACTATTGGGAGGTGGAGTGGGAAGGTTGAGGTTAGGGTCTGGAGGCCAGGAGTTAGACACCCCAAATAAAGACTAAAGTGACAGAACAAATTCCCCAACTGGAAGGCAAATGGTACCAGATAGGACAAAACGCTGACACGAAGGGAGAACATTCTGGAATCAATGATGGTAGTTGTTTTGTATATGTATTGCTCATTAGCTGTGTTATGATTTTCCACTTCTCTGAAATTGTGGAATGTGTGTTTTGGTAAGAAATCTGCAGAATTGAGTGCGTACGTTGAGTTGCACAACTCGGGGGTATATTTGCTTATGAGTCACCAAATTTCCTCCCTCATTCTCTCTTTTTTTTCAGCTTCTTTCTTGCTGCTTGTTGCCTTCTTCCCAGAGCTTTGTCTACTAAATATCATTATTAAGCAAACTGTCCCAAATCCAATATTTATGACTATATAAGGCACTTTTGTGTTGATAGTAAGAATAATTAAAAAGACAATAAGTTTAAAAAGGACACAGGCCTCTGAAGCAGACTGTCATTGCTCTTTATGTTCTGTGACATCTAAATAATAAAAATATCAGACTGTGAATATTAACCCAGTCATTGTGTGTGTGTTGTATTTGTACCTGTGCCCAAGTATTACTTTCTTTATTTTTTTTTATTTTTTTATTTTTCAAAGCTGGATTTCTCTGTGTAGTACTGGTTGTCCTGGAACTCACTCTGTAGACCAGGTTGACCTAAAACTCAAAGAGATCAGCCTGCCTCTGCCTTCCCAGTGCTGGGATTATAGGTGTGTGCCATACTTACAATCCTGTGCCCATTAATGCAGGGGTGGGCATGAAACCCAGAGCACACGCATGCTAGGCAGCACCCAGTTTAAACTGATCTGCATACCTAGATCTCAAGGCTTCTTTTAACCAAAGAAATCACGTTTTAATCAAATAAAGTGTTTTTTCTATCATAAAATAGTACTATATTTGTTTATTTGTTTTCAGTTGCTGCTGTAACAATTTTTTTTAACCATTTAATGACTTAATAAAAAGTTCTCATTTCGGGGCTGGAGAGATGGCTCAGAGGTTAGGAGCATTGCCTGCTCTTCCAAAGGTTCTGAGTTCAATTCCTAGCAACCATATGGTGGCTCACAACCATCTGTAATGGGGTCTGGTGGCCTCTTCTGGCCTGTAGGCATACATGGAAGGAATGCTACATACATAATAAATAAATAAATATTTAAAAAGTTCTCATTTTTTTAGCTCTGGAGATCAAAAGTGTTTAGATCAAGTCATTGATAAGGTCTGTGTTTGGGGAGGCTCTTGATAGGCTCTTGGGGAGAATCTGTTTCCTTGTCTTTTCCTGCCTCAATGCTGACTTCCTCCTTCTGTATTCAAAGTTGGGTAACATCTTCTAATATCTGGTTGACTTCACTTTCTATAGCAGAATCCATGGCTGAGTGCTTTGTAAAGAAAAAAGGATCACTTGGTTCACAGCTCTGGAGGGTAAAGGGTGCTGTACAGTTCCTTGATGAGCCTGTGACAGATGACATCATGCCAGAGGAGGGGGCGAGCAGAGTGTGATGGGATAGGAAGTCTGAGGGTTGGGGGTGGGGGCTCACTTTTCCACAGCAACCCATTCTTACCGGAATGAACCGGGGTTCCAAGAGAACTACCCTAATCTCTCTGAGGGCACTGCCTCCTGTGTGTTAGACTTTCCATCAGACCCCATGCCTTACTGGTCCCACCACCTCACTGCCCTCGCTGGGACTGAGCTCCTGGACATAACCTTTGAGGGACGAACTGCACCTGAACTGTAGCACTATCTGTGATGGTTTTGATAAAACGCTGCAGTTCCCCGAGGGGCGGCAGGGGGCCACGAGGTCCCACCACCTGAGGCCTCTGTGGGTCCCAGGCAGGTGGGAGTTCAGCAGGGCAAGCTGTCCCACAAAGAGCCAGGGCGGGTGGGAGTCGGATAGGCAAGCCGTGCAGAGGGAGGGGTTGGGTATAGTTGACTTTATTCAGTGGGTTATGGAAGGAAAGGGTAGGGCGAGGGGGAAGAAAGAGAGAGAGAGGAGGGAACAGAGAGGAGAAGAGACCTCAGCCACCTTTTCCTAAGAGAGGCAGGGCAGAGAAAATGCAGGCTGGAAGCCAAAGGAAGCTGAGGAAGGGGGGGGGGGAGGGAGGATGGGCAGGGCTTGTCTCTTAAAGGGACAAGACAGTGTAATGGTCTGTCTTTGAGCCTGCTTTTCTCTGCTAACAGGCTTGGTACTCTGTCAGGCCATTCAGTTCATGAGACTCTTTTTTATGGGGTAACACATTCCAGGCTCTGCGATTAGGGCGTGAGTATCTTTGGGGTGGCCTACTATAAGGCTTTTTATGCTACTTGGCCTGTCCTAATACTAATCTACAAAATATTAATAAAATAGAATTCAGAAAAATATATCAGTGGTTTTATTACTGAAGGAGAAATATAGCAAACATTTGCTTCTAGATTAAAAAAGATACAAACTGTGTATTGTAGTGCACGCCTTTAATCCCAGCACTCAGGAGCCAGAGGCAGCAGGGTCTCTGTGAGTTCAAGGTCAGCCTGGTCTACGGAGCACATTCCAGACCTGGCTACATTGTGGGGCTCTATCTAAAAAACCCCAACTTTTTACATATAACAATTGAGATCCTGGAGTTTTACTGAATATTGTATATGCTGGTTGATTTCCCATATTATACATAATCTGCTAATTTATTGATTATATAATATTCTAGCAAGTGGCTATACTATATTTTAGCTCAGCCACTTCTTAAAATTTTTTATTTTTAATTGTGTGCGTTGGTATGTGTCTCTGGGTGGGTATGTGCGCCTGTGTGCAGAGTTACAGAGGCCAGAAGAGGGAGTTGGATCCTCTGGAGCTGGAGTCACAGGCTATTGTGAGCCCAGTGTAGGCGCTGGGAATGAAACCCAGGGCCTCTGCGAGAGCAGTCAGCACTCTTAACCACCGAGCCACCCACCTCTCTGGCCCTACTTTTTCACTTTTAGAAATTTGTCTTAATTTTTTGATATTATATATGATCCCGTGACAAGTATTCCATCTATCATGTTTCTTTGTAATTTTAAATTTGCCTTGGGTAGATCGTCAGCTGTGGAATGGCTTTCTTGAAGCTATTTTTTTTTTTTTACAGCCCATGTTTTTCAGAGAGCTTAAAGAAATTGTTTGATTCCCTAGCAGTATGTTATCATCTATTTTACTAGAGTTCCTCTGCTCTCAATAAAACAGCAATATCATAAACAACACCTCTGCCAATCAGGTAGGTGGAATTCTCATCTTTTTGTCTTAATTTACATACATTTGTTTACAGAGAAGGAGCATGAACGATGTTTCTGGGCTTGTTTTTTGAGCTAGCTATAATTCTTTGATGAAATATTGATTACTACCTTTCACTCTGGAGAGATCAAAATACTTTTAAAATTAATTTGTCAGAGCTCAACATTTTTTAAAAGTTTATTTGGTATCTGTGATAACTGACACATTTATTTTTCTTACATTGTCACTAGAGATTCTTATGCTTAGAAGTTTAACCTTAGTATGGATTCTATTTCTCTTCTGATCTCAACCCTCTCCTTCTTTCCTCTTGTGAATCCTTGTCTGGGGACAGCCAGAGGGCCCAGCCAGTAAAGGTGATGCTCTGGGTTCGAGCCCCACGATCCACATGGTGGAGGGAGAGAACTGAGTCCTACAAGTTCCGACTCTACCAGCTTTCTGTGGCCTGCCCCACCGCCACATAACACACAAATAAATGAATAAATGTAATAAAAGAGTTCTGAGTTTTTATTTTTTTGTGTTTTTAGGTTTTTCTGTCCAAATGAGCAAATTCACAGTTCTTATGGGCTGGAAAGTGTTTTTGTTTTTTTCTCACTATGTGGTGCACGTGCACATATGTGTGTGTGTGCTGGGTGTATATGCATGTGGTGGCCCAGGGCTGATGTCAGACACCTTCCTAATTGTTTCGTCACCTTACATATTGAGACCCTGGTCTCTCACTTGAGCCTAGAGCTTGCTGAGTCAGCTAGTTTAGCTAGCTAATTAACCCTAGGCAGGCACCCTTCCCCTCGCGCCCCATCTCTACCTCCTGAGTGCTGGTTATAGGTGGGCTGCCACACTCACTTGGCACTTGTGGGGCTGAGGATTTGAATTCAGGCCCTTATGCTGGCAAGGCAAGAAAGTGCCTTACTCACTGAGCCGTTAATCGTGTGAGGAACACAGACAGGTCTTTCTACCTGAGGAGACGACTCATCTGGACTTCTGAGTTCTTGGCAAAGACACGTCTGCTTTTCTTCCTTTTCAAAAATAAGTAAGAGCAATGTCAGGACACTTGAATGCCTCTTTGTTTCCTCACTATTTCCTCTTATGACTATATTAACATTCTCCAACAGTCTTAACTTCTGGATATTTTATTCTAAGCTTAGGCAGAAGTAGCCTTCAGTAAGCTGGCATCAGCTGAGGTGCTCAAAGCGGGCAAGTTGGAAAAAGAAACACCAGAGTTGACTTAAGTGACAGGTCAAAGTCCCTCCCTCAGCAGGAGGTCACAATGGTGGGCTCCTAATTTAGGTTTCTCCTACACCATTGTCTTAGGAGCACAGCCGCTAACCTAACTTCCTGTTGACTTGGGTCCTTTGCATCCTGAGGAACCTTCATGTTCCTCCTTTCATCTCAGCGCCATCCAGCTCCTCACTCTCACGGGCCTTCCTCTTCCCAGCTAACAAGCTCCACCTGGACTCACGTGCAGTCACGTCACACAAGGGCTCACCGGGAGAGTTCCACACAGGACATACAAGTCAATCCATTTTGTCAACTGTCACTAGAAGGGTTCTAGAATCTCCAGGGAGATGGGTCTCTGGGCATGCCTGGCTGGGGCGCCTGCGCGGGGTGGGGGTGGGGGGATGGCTGCGGTGGTGTAATCTTGCTTATGTTAATTGGGTGGACGACTCCCCCCCATCCCCCCACCCGGTGAGCAGCACCACTCCCTGGCTGGATTCTGGTCTGTTTAAATGGAGAAAGGGAGCTGAGCAGCAACGCGCATCCATCCCTCTCTGCTTTCTGACTCCAGTTGGCCAGCTGCTTCAAGTCTCTGCCACCCTGTTGTCCTCGCACCCTTGAACTGTGAGTCAGAGTAAACCCTTCCATCCTTGAGTTGTCTTTGTCAGGGAATTTTTATCACAGCAACAGAGAAACAAGCAGATAAACAAAACAACCTTCTTAGAGTATAGCAGCGCATTGCTTGCAGGCCATTTTCTTGCAGATGTCCTATGTTCTGACTGTGATTCTATGAACAAGAACATTATCTTGGAAGCTATGGTAATGGCTAAGTCGTGTGTATTTTGTTGTCCCACAATTATGTTCTAGGAGAAGCCAAAATTGGTTGAAAACCCACGAGGTGGCAGGGCCTGTGACAAGCATTTTGATTTATTTTTATCCTTATTCATTGTGCTGGTTATTACCATGATTATTATCGTGAATTTGACATTAGCTAGCGTCATCTGAGAAGAGAGAACCCCAGCTGGGAAAATGCCACCCTGAGACACGCCTATAGGAGGTCTGTCAGGTGATGTCTTGGTTGATGATTAATGTGGAGGGCCCAGCCTACTGTGGGTAGTGCCACCTCTAGGCAGGTGATGTTGGGTTGGATAAAAAAAGCAGGTTGAGCGAGGCTTGGGGAGCAAGCCAATAAGCCTACTCCTCTGTGGCCTCGGCTTCAGTTCTTGTCTTGGCTTTTGGCCCTGACTTCCCTTCTCCATGGGAAGTGTAAGCCGAAAAAGCCTTCCCAGCTCAACGTTGGTTTTGGTTGTGGTGTTTTATTACAGCAACAGAAAGCAAACTTGTTAAGACATTTATTTTTCATAATAGCCCTTGGAGGATGTATTCTTACTCAGGAGTATAATGATCAACCAATGACGACAATGGAAAGTAAACATTTCTGGACTCTGCCATGACTTTCCTTGTTTACTGTATGGGAAAGGTTTCAGCCTCTGAAAGGCATTTATAACTTCTAAAAGGTGTGCTCAGCCATCCTCACAGGACTTGGAAATGGGTACTTTAACCCAAGAATGTCTCATCTAGGGTTCCTTGGTAGCAGCAAGTAATAGAAAATTCTTGAGCATCTCAAATGTTAAATTTCACTCATGTATCATCATGCTAGGCTTATACTAGTCTGAAATCTATCTATCTATCTATCTATCTATCTATCTATCTATCTATCTATCTATCATCTATCTCTCTTTCTGCCTATCATCTACCTGTCATCTATCTACCATCTGTTGTGAAGTAATTGTCACAATCAAGTCAAATAACATACCCATTGTCTCATACAGTTGTCTTGTGTGCTTGTGTGTGCCTCTGGGCACATGAACATACACATGCTGACAATACTTAAGATCCAACACGATAATTGTAGTCACCGTTGTACATTAGACCATAGTCTTGCAAAACTGAAACCTTGCATCTTTAACCACCTCACAGGCATTTCCTGTCTTGGCCCTTGGTCATTATCACTCAAGTCTTTGATTTTATTTGACTTTATATATAAGTGACTATATATATAAGTGAGATTACACAGTGTTTGTCTTTCTTCCTCTGGCTTGTTTCCCCTAATAATGTCTTTCTGGTTCATTTATATTGTTACAAACGACAGGATTTTCTTCCTTAAAAAGTTTATTTTTATTTATGTGTATGTGTGAACGTCAGTGAGTATGTGCCACGTGTGTGGGTGTCTGTGAAGAACACTGGATCCCCTGGAGCTACAGTTCCAGGTGGCTATGACCCACCTGCAGTGGGTGCTGGGAACTGAACTCCAGTCCCCTGGAAGAGTAGCAAGATCTCTTAACCACTGAAGCATCTCACTTGCCCCAGGGTTTTCTTTTTAAAGGGTGGATAACATCTCACTTCCATATACATAGACACTGCATTTTTTTTTAGTGTATGGATTTCTGAAGAACAAGGGTGAGGTGGTTGCAGAGGGGGTAATGGGGGTGAAGTGCCAAGAAAGCCAGTGCGTGCGGCATGGTGAGAAGAGGCAGCGCTGAGAACAAACGGCTCTTTGCCGTTTTCCTCCCTTAGGATGGTTTATGGTCTGCTTTTGTTTTTATACAAGCTCAGCTGACAAACCTTCTGCAAGGCAGAGAGAAGTGCTTTTTGCAAGAGAAGCATTTACCAGTCACTGTGTGAGCCAGGGCTTTCCGTCTTGGTTTAGTGTCCAGAACCCTTGAAGCTATGTTGTTGCTCAAATCCAGAAACCTCTACTCAAATCCTGTTTTTGTTTTCTTGTCCTCTTTAGATGACCTTTAAAAATATTGAAATAATGCTCTTGCAGAAAAATTAGAAAATGGAGAAAACTCCAGGTTAACCATTATGTGTAAGCATTCATGTGTAAAACTGAGAAAAGAATCTTCATACTACATAACTTGAAAAAAATCTAGCAGGGTGTTGTGAATTTTGACAGATTTTTTTATTTTTAAGGGTTTATTTATTTTAATTTTATGTATACAAATGTTCAGCATACACACACACACACACACACACACACACACATATATATATATATATATATATATATATATATTACGCCATATACCTCGTGCTTGTGGAGGCCAGAAGCGGGTGTTGGATCCCCTGTATCTGGAGTTAAGGCAATTGTGAACCTCCATGTATGTTCTGAAAACCAGGCTGAGTCCTCTGCAAGAGCAGCCAGTGCTCCTAACTGCTGAGCTGTTGCCCCATTCTCTACCACTTTTTAAAAAGAGATTATCAACACGACCACTTGATAGTTCCTAACGGCCATGCTGCAGCTTTCCTGTCTGTCTCTAGCCTTGCGGGATAGACTGTCGCGTGAAGCAGAACAGCAATAGACATCATTATGGCCTCCTGCAGTTAAGTTCTTCAGCACACATCCAGCAGTGGCTTTCCGACTCTCGTGTGGCCAGACTACCACATTCAAGTTCTGAAACAGCACTTGGAGAGCTCACAGAAAAGTCTAACATTGCAAAAGTCCCTGTGCAGCGGAACACTGAGCGTCCAGCGGTTTCCTGGGAAAGGTTACCGGGAGAACAGCTGAGCTGGTCTTGGAGTGTCACTGGCCAGTTAGACTTTCCACTTGAGTTTCTCCTCTAAGAGGCGGAAAGACACTTGTCCCTTGATGGCTACTGCTGGTTTGTTTTAGAGTCATAGCAGGCCATTAGTCATGGGTGAGCAAGACTCGGTGAGAACTGATGGGGTTTAAATGACCTAGAGGATAACTGAGTGTCCCCGTGAGGCATTTTCTAAGAGGAAGACCCAGCCTGAATGTAGGCAGCTCCATCTCATGGACTGGGGTTCCAGGCTGAATAAAAAAGAGAAAGGAAGCTGAGGACCAGAATTCACCTCTCTCTGCTTCCTGACTGAGGATGTCATATGATCGACTTGCCTCAAGTTCCTGCTACCATGACTTCCTGGCATGATGGACTGTAACCTTAAACCATGAGCCCAAATAAACTTTCCCCCACCTCCTGTTTTAGATAGGTCCTCACTGGGTAATCCTGACTGACCTAAGACTTACTATATAAACCAGGCTGGCCTTGAAACCACAGAGACCCTGCCTCTGCCTCCCGAGTGCTGGGATTAAAGGTGTACATCACCATGCCTGACTTATTCTACTTCTAATTATGTATGTGTGTGTGGTGTGTGTGTGTGTGTGTGTGTGTGTACATGTGAGTGCAGATGCCCAAGAAGGACCGAGGAGGGTGG